TCTACAAAACAGACCTCTATTTTGATCTCTAGACGATAGATAGATCGATGCCAATAGATGGTGCTCAAGATTATGCACTAAGAAAAGGAGTACTTGTGGCACCTTAGAGACTAACCAATTTATTTGAGCATGAGCTTTCGTGAGCTATAGCTCACTTCATCGGATGCATACCGTGGAAACTGCAGCAGACTTTATATACACACAGAGAATATGATGCACTGGCGTTCCTGGGTAGAGCTCCGTGAAATTTTTTGGCTGAAACACGTTTTTCTGTAAAAAATGCACATGTGGTGACACTTAAACATTTTGTGAATTCAGGATGATTTTTTTTCCCAAATTGTTCACTTCAGAGGAGGGGGAAAGCCTGAAAAACTGAAATGTGTTTTTAATTTTGACATTTTCAAAACAAAGTGTTTTCAGTTTTTTCAGGTTGAAATGACTTCTTGCTTCAAAATTTCCTTTAATTTAATTTTTAAAAAGAATCCAAAACCATTTAAAAAAGAATCTAAACCCACATAACCTGATGCACCTCACTCGTATGCATGACCATTCCTTTTGAAGACTGATTGTGTAAAGTTGTGTGTCTAAAGCAGGTACCAATCAGACAAAGTAAACATGGGCTCTGGAATATGTAGCCTATGATATCATTACTGCGGCAGTTTACACAACTGAAGGGACTTTGTCAACTAGTTTAAGGCCAAATGTTTAGATTTGGTTTAACAAAAACTGTTGGAACATGATTAGAAATATTGTGGTGTGCGTGTGTAGGTGTGATTTGATAAGTACAATAACTTTAAATAGATATTTCCATAAAATTTTGTGAACCCATACTATATTATGTTAGTGCCCAGGAACTGGGAAATGAAACCTGCTAGAAAACCAAATGTCTAACTGATTGGACAGCATTAGGTGTTGCTGAAGTTTTTTGCCTGAAAAATTTTACAGTGAAAAATATAGTTCCACTGAAATTCTATTCAGCTGAAACAGCTTTGGTTTTCATGAAATTTTTCAATTTCAATTTTTCAACAAAACTGAAATGAAACTAAATGATTTTTTAAATCCATTTAATTTTTTTAATGAAAAAATGGTCATCAATTTTTTTCTTTAAATGTTTGTATTCCTTTATCTACCCGCTCTCGTTTTTCCTGGCCACTTCTTTTTCTGTGGGAAAAGTGAGTAAAAGTGGTGGGGAAAACAGATTATTTCCCTCCCTTATACACTTATTTTAAAAAAAAAAATGTAACTTTTTTGGTCGGGGACAGCATTCTTATTTTTTTTGCCATATCAGCTCTGATATGAGTATCACTCATAGAGATGAGTGAAATGCAGAAATATAAACAAGTAAAGGGAGTGGAAATAAATGAAAGTGTATGGATCTTAAAATTCAATAATTTTTATTCTTTTAAAATGTTTAATACATTTGAATGTACTAAAAAAGATGGATTCCACCCAGTGCAGAAGGCCAGCTTAAGTTATATGCATCACAGCTTAAGTGGAGCCGAGACCGTGTACTGTTCCACTGCACAGTGAGGAATTTCACCCTTAGTGGGTGACTATCAGTTTCTTTGTGTGATCAGAACGCCCCCAGTGGAATTGTAATGACACCTGGGAGAACTTTCCCTTTTATCATAAGGAGAGAAAATCCTTTAGGTATGAAAATCATGCCTCCAAGTTCAGGTAGGGAGTCAGACTTACCATCCTAAGTTCTTTGGGACAGCAAAACCCCATGGGCTATCTAACTTCTAGTGAACCCTAGTGATAAGCTTGGCAGTATCTAGAATAATTGCAAGTGAAGTGAAGGTGAGTCGCTGAGCCAGGAGAGTTGAGAAACAGCAGGAAACTGATGATTTAATTGTTTTGCGAATCCGAATTAGGTTACTGCAGTGCTTGGAAGAAAGAAATGACGTGACTAGTTAAGATAGATGAGCAAGAGTAATGCCTCCGTGTCCTTGTCTATCCATCCCAGCAGGTGTTTTATGGCCTCCAGAGTAAGGAAGCAAGGGAACTTTGATGAATAATTCAAAGGGCAAACATGGTTTTGCATTAATTAGAAGCGACCTGCTTTTTTTAAGAAAACTAAAATTGAAAGAGTATTCTGAAGATTTGAAAGATGCTTTTTGTTGTTTCTGGCTCTTCTTAGATTGTTGCAATCTGACCAAGACAAGGATCATAAAATGAGATGATCTGTATTCATGCTGACCATTCAAGATCCAGAAGGCAGTAGTCAATGAAGATGTGTAGTTTGACTACAGAGCTCCTTAGATTTCATGGCTTGAACAAGAGTAGAGTTGGTGTGGAGAGGGCTAGGAACATCAGACAAACCAAATGCCTGCCCCTGCCTACAAGTTTCTGGCAAGCTGAGATACTAAGAATACATTTTTATTTTCACCCTTTTGCTGCTGAAGGTCTGAAGCTTTGAAAGGCTTCTTGCGTGAAGATCAAAATCCTGCTTCTTGCAGTCTGTTGTTCTGATGGCAGCCATTCCCTAGGTACTGTGTGGCAGAATTTACCAGAATTCCTAGAGGGAATGCATGGGAAGGAGCAAACTCCTTATGGTTTGAGAATAAACTGAGTGGGTCAGTTTTATTTATTTTTGTTTTAAATTGGATTTTACACTCAGCAATCTATTGAGCATTGCTTGATCTTTTCTAAGAGGCAAAGGGCCAAGTTTTCATCTGGCATAAACTGGCCTAGTTCCACCGAAGTCACTGACTTATACCAGCTGAGGAGCTAACCCATGCTGTTTGACACTAACTCACTGGTGAGATGCAAACAGTAGTGAAGACTGCTTTCAGGAACTACTGCTGTGAGGCTAGGTTGGACAAATGTCCCTTCTGATTAGTGACTGTCTGGTAATTGCTGACTGTTTTCCTGATTCATTTCAAAGCCAGAAAAAAATCTGAGGCATCGCCATAGGGACAGCCGAAACCAATTCGCAAAAAGAAAAGGAGTACTTGTGGCACCTTAGAGACTAACCAATTTATTTGAGCATAAGCTTTCGTGCATGCATCCGATGAAGTGAGCTGTAGCATGTCCCTGGGGAAGGGATCTCTGTGCGCTGCTGCCCCGCCCTGAGCACCGATGGGAGCTGTGGGGGTGATGCCTGCGGTGCCCCAGGCCCCCCCACCTAGGAGCCACTGCCAGAGGGGTGTGCCGGTTGCTTTCAGGAGCTGCCTGAAGTAATTGCTGATCCCCCTCCTGGACCCCTGCCCCAGCCCAGAGCCCGCACCTCTCCCGCACGCAAACTCCATCCCAGAGCCTGCACCCCCTCCTGAACCCCAATCCCCTGCCCCAGCCTGGTGAAAGTGAGTGAAGGTGGGGGACAGCGAGCAATGCGGGGGATGGGAGAAGGGACGGGCGTGGTCTCAGGGAAGGGGTAGGGCAAAGGTCTTTGGATTTGCACGATTAGACAGTTGGCAACCCTACCGGGGGGCATGTGTAAACCCTAGCCCGTGCCGGAAGAGTGCGCCCAGCAGCTCACTGGGCACCAGCCAGCGCAGCACCACCCAGGTGGACCACGGGCGTGGCTTGTGCGTGCGTGGGGGCCCATTGACTGTTCTGTCCCGGGGCCCGGAATTGCTCTCAGTGGGCCTGATCCTGTCCATTCACTTTGCTAGACTCTGAATTGGGCCCTGAATGCTTCTTGTAATGGCAACAATAATGCATCTTTCTTGGGGAAAATGACACCGTTTTTTGACCAGCTTGGCCACTAGAAGTCTGGCAAATGGGTGTTTCTGTGTTGCTCCTGGCAGCTGACACAACTCATAGAGAGCAAGGCAGCTAAGTAAATGCCAGATGGCGTCCCCTTTTCCTTTTTCCCTCTGCAGCATGATAGCAAGAGATTGCAGCTGCAGCTGCTGAATTATCTCCAGTAAAGATTACAGCAGAAATCAATCAGTGGAGGGGCTTCCCGTTTGAAAGCTTATGCCCACTAGTTCTGTTTGCCTTTTAATCCGCAACTTTCCTTGGTTTGTATCAATTCCTCCCTACCACCTTGAGCCTGATGAAAGCTGTATGTTTTCCGTGCTTAATCGGTTCTTTAACAATTAGTGTCTTCCTTCACCCCACCCCAAATGTTCTTTCTGTTATGCTAAGCCTCTCTGGCCTGTTGCTCTGATACAGTCTGATGGCTACGCTCCCCTTGGCTCTCGAAATCCCTCCATTCTGCCATGTGAACCTCTGGTCCTTGTGTTCTGCCACATAGATCTGCCTCTCCTCCTTGCACAGAGCTGCTCAGAATGAAGAATTTTAATCTGGGCACTCAGGAATTTTTTCTTAATATATCCTCCTTTGGGGGCTTCCCCATCCCTTCTCTGGACTGTTCTTCACCATTTTCCTCTTTCTTCCATGCCCATTTAAATGGTTTGCTTTAATGCCCCTTGGCCTCTTTCCCGCCATCCTCTCCTATTTCTTTGGACTTTTAAAAATAAATATTGCCCTCCCTTTTCTCTCTCAGTTCTTCCCAGTGAAATGGTTTCTCCAGCTTAATTAAAATCAGAGTCTGTTTCTTCGGTCTCTCTCTCTTTTTTTTTAAAAGGTCTTTTGCAGCTGATTAATTTCCATGAATTAATAGGCAGTGGCGGATGTGTGTTTTGGTGCTTGGAAATGATGCCAGCCTGGGTTCTGTGTGATTAAAAAAAATAATCTGTCATTTTGCCATTGTTTATAACTTTATGAATGTAAACATCATATTTTGCCTTAAATTTTTATTGAATATCTGCAACAGATGAATGAAATCACCCTTTCTCCTCCCCTGCCCCGCTGCCTCCTTAATAATTAGAAAATAGTGAAACCTCCTTGACAGAGTGCATCACTGATTGATGCTTTTGTCCGCCTCAGAATATTTAATATAATTGCCATGACTAGGAGTTGAAAGGGCCAGTTATCAGCAGTAAAATGGATGCTGTACGTGACTTGTTCTCATTCTATCTACAGACCTGTATCTCACCAGCAATATCTGCCAGCCAGCAGACTGTAACTTTTTTTTTTTTTTTTGGCAGGAGACATTACTCAGCACAGGACCTGTTTCACAGCTGCAAGTCATATATTTAAGATAGCACAATCAATCTAAAAACCTGGATGAATTAAATGTATTAAAAACAATACCAGGAATTTTCTGGCTTGGATTGATCATTTCAATGTGAAAGCCTAAGACAACAGGTAAAAATTTTAAAGGTGCCTAAGTACCATGGGGCTTAGGCTCCTGAGTCACATAGGTGCTCTTGAAAATTCTGCCCTAAATCTTAAACATTTTAAATATAGTTTGAGGCAGAGTGGTTTAGTGGATAGAGCGCTACACTGGGACTGACTTCTGTTCTACATTCCTGTTGGGTGACCTTCAACAAATCGCTTGAACTCTCTCTGTCTCATTTCCCACATCTGTTAAGTGAGGAGAGTGACGCTACCTCTCTCCTTTTGTGACCGTGCTTTAAGATCTCCTTATGAAAAGTGCTGTATGAGAGCTAGGTGGTGGCATTATTAAGTTCATTTCCAGATGAGTGGTTCTCCAAGCATAGGGCACTGATTTAGGAAGATGAAAAATTGATCATGTTCCAGAGGAATAAAGAATGCAAGTGCACGAAGAACAGGTCATGAACCTCCTGCTGCATCCCATCTCTGGCTCTTTTTTTATTTTTGCTATTTAATTCCTGAATGCTATGGCCTATATGTGTTGTTTTTTTTCCCCCCCTTCCTAAAAGCGATTAGGAATTGTGGATGTTCAAGTTTATATGTATCTAATTTGGTGACACCATAAAAGAGGCCTGATTTTCAGGACTTGAGTGCTCAGCATGTTCTGAAAATGGGACACCTTTTTAAGATGGGCACCCAACACCATGGCACTTTTAAGAACGTATACCTGTGTATCTTTTTAGTTTACCTGTTGCTAAATATAGATATAACCTGAAATACCGCCTTGCTTGCTGCCTCCATGGTCTCTCACTTTATTACCTACATTTTAATTATCTGTTTGCAGATCAGTGTGATATTCATTGGTTGCACCACCACTTCTGTCTGAGCTGATTTTTGACTATTGATTTTCCATCATTCAATTATTACCCATGGAGTGCCACAAAGGCACAGGGGGGACTGTGATAGCTCTTTCCTTGCCATCCTTAACTACTGTTTTCAGTGCAGCGACACAGCCCCAGCAAAGATGGAAGAGCTATTCCATTGAAAAACTGTTCCTGTGCGGGTTTCTTTCCAGTATTGACATTTTTGAGTGCTGTAATTAGATAGCAGCGCATACTGCAGATTATTGATTTGGTATAAAACTGTTCCCAACGATCATTGTTGAACTTTAGATACTAAAAGCAATAACACATTAACCTTCATCTATCAAATACCTTTATTTCTATGTAGAACGCTTTAGTTAATTGGTTTGCTCTTGTTCCTTAACTAACGCTCCTCTATAAACAATATAAGAAAAAAACATTTTCCTAAAGAGAAACAATTGTGGGGTTTTTTTGTTTTTTGTTTTTAAACTAGGAAAAGCTATGGTTCTTTACTGCTTATGGTGGTCAGTTTTCAAGCAGAGGAAGGATGGTCCAGTGGTTAGGCACTAGCCTCAGATTTGGAAGACTTGGGCTCAAGTCCCTGCTCTTGTGTGCTTGGGCAATCCACTTAGACTCTCTGTGCCTTAGTTTCACATCTGTAAAATGGGGCTATTAGCGCTACTCTGCCTCAGGATTGTGTGGATAAATCCATTCAAGATGTATGGCTCATATATGCAGCTCGCATTGCCATAAGATGTTGCTGGTACTGAACTGTAGGTCTGATGTATGTATTTCAATGGGAGAAGCTTGTCTCACAAGCAGATATAGCAAACTACCCAGGCAGCTAATATTTTAAATGATCACTTGGACTCTAAGGCCCTGGATGTTTTGCAGGATATTGTGTTTCAGTGCAAAATTGCTAGGCTGGATTCAGTGTTTTAGAAAAGGCCATTGGCAGCTGGTAGTGACTTTTGGCTTCCTTCACGCAAGTCCGATCATTTCTGCGAACAGCACCGAGTGATTTCTTGAATGGAACATTGATTTCGTTGTGTTGCCAGGAGGCTTCATTGAGAAAATGTTCTATATTTAGCTCAGTTCAGTTAGGCTTTCCTTTTGCACAAAGAGCAAAGCTGTGTAGTTCTCAGTCTTGGACGACTTTTCATTTCAGATTCAGAAAACAACAGAAGAAGAACCAGCACAGAATTTCCAGGAAAGTGGCAGGGATGCAGAGCGGAATTCTGCTGCTGAACTGACGGACCAGATTCCCCATTCCTTGTGCCAGTGCAGTTACACTAGCTGCACTGGCAAAAAGGAACAGAGCATCAGGCCCTCAATTTAACGGCGTTTCACCAGTGGGAAAGAGATGCTAAATAGGACCCTCCTGCAGATATCTGCTGCCTCTCATAAAGGATGTGGGACAACTCCTACATTTTAAGGTGAAGTACACCGAAAACAGACTCTCTTCTGTTTTCAGTTTCATAGCTGCCCCTTGAAGTCCATACTCAAGTAGAGTTGGCCAGCCTTCTCACTGGGGACACTCAGCTGTCGTGGTGAGAATCAATTAAAACAGTCCGAGTCGTTGCCCCAATCTGGGCTGTTCTTGCCCTTTTGATTTGCTGTTCATACTGGAAGATAATATTTTGTTAGACTATTATAGCTTTTAAGCAGCGAGACATTTTCTGTAGGCATAGAGAGGATGTTAAAAGTTCAGCACTTGCAGGCTCAGGTTCCTATGGGTGCTTCTGTACTGGGAACTCGGAGCCTCAGTCACAGTGGAGAGATCTATAATGGGCCTGGATTTCCACTCTCAGAGGTATAAATAGGGAGTAACTCCACTGGCATCAGTAAAACTGTTGTAATGAAGTGGAAGATCAGGTGTGCTGTTTTTAATGTCACCTTCTGTGTTTGTAGTAAGGGTTAGAATTTTGGAGAAATGTTCTTGTGGTTGTCCGATATGGAGCAAGCAACTAAAGAGTTGGTAGTGGCTGTACACTTGAGCAGAACAAGCAAGGCAGCCTAAGGCTAGGTTGATGCTGCAATGGAGGGTGTAATTGCAGCTTCTGTAGATGATGATGTACTTGAGTTAACTTTAGCCTAGCTAGCTCGGGTGCTGATAGAAGTGAAGCTGCAGCAGCTGTGAACTTCAGCATGGGTTCGCCGCTCAAGTAACTACCCAGGGTTCCAGGCCGCCTTGCGGCCTATACAGCCTGCACTGCCATAGCCTCACTGCTGTCAGCATCCCAGCTAGCTAGATTTAAAGCTGCCCTGAAGATCTTACAGTTTAAGCAGATGGGGGGGGAGGGCATTCAAGCAGAGTGAACAGAGTGCAAATGTCATTAGTGCCATGATTTAAAAAAAAAAATTCTTTAAGGTGGGGATTGGTAGGAGGGGATTTGCTAAATGGAAAGACAAGGGAATGTAGTGTGAAGGGTGGGGGGAAGTGGGAAGGTAGAAAGGAGTACTTGATGTGTGGATATGCCACTTGCTTCAATTCTTGGACTGTTTTACTGAACAATTAAGAATCCCAATGGTAGCAGTTACTAGCATTGGACAAATCCATTGGCGATATAACAACTGGCTGAGGCCATCCTATCATATTGGTCTTGACTAATATAATTAAAAATGGTGAGTCCATTAGGATGTCATGATAGATCTTTTCCTTGGTTATGTGGAAAGAAATTGCTTCTGGCCAAAATAAGGGATTAACAAGCATGTCCCCAAAATACTACTTTTTAAAAAATAAAATAAAACAAAACAATGCTGTTTGTTTTGTTATCTACTGTACCATAATCTTCAAACACAAGCTGGTCTTAAACCTTCCCTTGATGCTGGAATTTAAGGCTGAGATTAAAAAACAATAAGAACTGAAATCTATCCTCCGAAGTACATATGTAGGCTCGTAAGTGAGTAGCTTGATTTTTTTTTCCCCCAAAATGCCAAGCACTCAGTAGCTCCTACTGACCTACGTTTTCTAAAATGTCATGTGACTTTGGATACCTCAGTATTCTAATGCCGAACTGTAGACCTATTTAAAGTGGCCTTTTCAGAAGTGCTGAAAATTTGGCACCGCCAAGGCATCTCAAAATTAGATACCCAAAATTGCTAGTCTCTTTTGAAAATGTAGGCCATTGGCTTTTCTAGTACTTTACAATGCTCAACACTTCTGAAAATCAGACTCCTTTAGGGTTGCCACCTGTCCAGGTTTTACCCAGACGTTCCGGTTTTTGGATTCTGTGTCTGAGTGCCATTACATAGTCTTAAGTCCATAGTTAAGTGCCTAACTTTAAGCACCTGTGTTTGAAAATCTTGACTGAGACTTCTAAGTGTGAAATGCATTTGTGCTAAATGTGGGAACTTCTGAATCCCCAGGCCCCCAAAGCTACAAGGGGGTGTATGACAGCCTGTTTGCAAAATGTCAGTGTGCTAACAACAAAGCCTGTCAGTTTGAATACTACAGCTTTTTTATGAATAGCCATAGCACAAACATTCAGCTTCCATCAGTTATTTGATTACCAGGGCAGCTGAACCATGGACTGCTGCTCACTATGAGGAAACCTACAGAAAACCCTGGAGATTGTCTGGGCTGAGTCCTTGGCCTTCTTATGACGTTTCTCTCTGATCTCATATGCTCCTATGAGTTGAGCTGTCACCTACCACGCTAAATATACCTCCCCACTCCTTTTACCTTTTCACTCTGCCTATTCATAGATTGTGAAGGCCAGAAGCGACCATTTCGAATCTCTAGTTTGCATAACACAGACCAGAGAATTCTACGCAGTAATTCCTGCATCAAATCTAATAGCATAATTGCATCATGTTTTTTCCCCTCTGCTCTTCTCTGTCTCATCACTATCTCCAAATGTGGGGCAGATTCCGCCCCCCCCCCACCTTTTTGAAAGATGGCTCGGCTGTTACCAAAGGCAAAATTTGTCATATGTCCCAAATCAACTTTATCCCTTCTCCTCTTCTGTCATGATTGAAAATTCTATTATCCTTCCCATTCTTCAAGCTTACAGCTTGGAATACACCTCCTTAAAAATTCCTGGTCTCCTCCCCTCTGATCCAGGTCCTTGCCATATGCTGACCCTGCTTTTCCCACATTATTAGCAACATTTTCTCTCCTCCACTGGTGTGATAACTCTTAGATGTGGGTGGGTATTTGGGGAG